TTCAGGACCGTGCCTAGTGGCATTTCTTGGGGGAGGCATATGTGCAGCATTTGTAAAGGGTCGTAATGATGAAATGCACAGATCGGTACTTTTCAAAAAACACCTACATCGGCGGAAACGATTCTTGTAAAGATAAAACCGATTCCGTAAACTGTTTTAGTAAGCGCACAAGATTTTTAAATCCAATACCTTGGCAGAGGGGAATAATCATGCGAGGCGAGTCCGTGGGGTTAAATGGTCAAGCTCAAGCATAATATAAAATGTCATCGATATGGTAAGGTTGCCAGGTTTGACTAAATTAAAATAACCACAGAGTCAGCACTTCTTATTATTTTGTGCCAAGGAGGTTATAATGTAATATAGGGAGTGAGCGCTTGGAACATTGTAACCGTTTCTCATTTTTCTTAGAAAGAGAGGCACCGAGTTTGATATTTTATCTTCTTCTAACATTAATAAATGTTTACACAAAATAAAAACATTACCAAAGCTTAGACAGTTATGGACTTAAAGTAATATTTTAGACAAATGCTAGAACGATAATCTTAAATTTTTTATCGCTAATCATAGTTGGTATATTCTATGTTATATTTTAATTAAGTTTATTGTTAAGTAACACAAAAAAAAAAAACACTAAACACTTTAATGACGCCAAATGTCAAAGAATTAAATTCTGATGTAATTTTAAATGGAGAGAAACTGAGTCTTGTAGATACCACCATTTTTCTTGGAATCACATTAGATGCCAAGCTTCAATGGAGCCTCCATATATCAAAATTAGCAAGCAGACTCTGCAGCTTTAGCTATTTCCATAGCATAATATCGTATGGTATTTTGTTATGGGGACACGCAGCTGATACTGAAATTATTTTTGTTTTACAGAAGAGAACCATCAGAGCAATTAATGATATAAGCCTAAAGAGTCGCTGCGACAAAAATTTAAGGAAATTAATATATTAACTTTGGCCTCTCAATACATTTATGAAAATGTAATATACGTACACAAAAATAAAAGTAGTTTTACAAAAATAAGTGATAATATTCATTCTGTACATACTAGGAACAGACACAAGCTAGTAGTACGTTACTCGACTCCATCGAGTCAGTAATTCATTCTAGGGGTGATGTATACGCTTTTACAACAAAATTCTAGAAAATATACAAAATTTGACCTGCTCAAGGTTCAAAAAATTTTAATAAACCAAGTTTGTATAAAAAGGGTTATTATAATATTATAGAATTTATGGATGATAATAACCCCTGGAAATGAGGCGATCGCTACCAAGCTATTTCTAATTTGTTGTGTTGTTAATTTGTGTAACATACATGATTGTAAGCTGTTATTTAAAAAAAAGTTCTGCTGGGTTTCTTGCTGGTTCTTCTCAGGACAGAGATTTTTTTTCGAACCAGTGGTAATTAAACAAAAGAGTGATTTTCAATAAGTATTATTTATAATCTATATTGAATAAAAAGTTTCTGTTCCTGTTACACGAATGTTCTTTCCCTAAAAACTAGGAGGTACATTTTACGCTATAGATGACAATACTATTTTAAAATTTGACGCTGTCAAATGAATGAATATATTGGTTTTTTTTTATATAGAATAGGGTGACAAACGAGCACACAGCCCACCGGATTTCTCAGCTAAGAGGTTGCTGTGGCGCATAGACATCTACATCTATCCTAGATTGCGAATCAAAATGCAGATGCGTTGTCACCCGTGAGCACTAAGATGGAATGCCTCTTTGCCAGTAAATTCCAATTCATTCTTTTTGCGCTTCCTCAGGTAGCGCTTAATAATTAACTATAATGCTTCTTTTTGACCCCGTTTACTTTTAACTTGTGTTATATTTTCTTGCTGTAGTTAATACTCACTGTAACACAATGTATCTTTTTGTAATCTTAAGAAGGAGCGGGGTCTCCTAACACAAGTATCATACTTAAAAGAAGATTCCGGCCATTAGTAATGTAACAATGATGTAAAAGATACTGAATAAAGATTTTTTCATTTCATTTTCATTTCAGTAAAAAGGTTCTCCGGTTCTCTACACTCAACATACGAAATACATCAGTATTGAGCTGCTATTTTACGCTGGTATTCTGTGAGTGAGTAGTCCTTCCCCGGTCGAGCCGACCCATTTGTGCTACAACTATACTACTTATATAGCTGCAGCATGGCTCTACCACGTAAAAAACGCCTTATGCTAATCATTCGCTAAATCTATGTGGAGTGCACTCACTTAGGGAGCGTTAATTCAAGTTTACCTTTTTTTTTTCAGAACAGTAGAAAGAGTTTACAGGTTCTTTTCATCGTCCACACGTCAATAGAAAACTTTAATAAAAAGTGTGGGCATATCCGTCAAAAGACTCTCAGAGACAAAATTAATGGCTCATAATGACGTTGTTAAACCACTGCAGAATAATTTAAAAAAAGCTAGTATAAACACTCGAAGATATATACGATCCCAGCACCAACAGAGAAAACGTCTATACAAAAGAAGCAGTATCTACACTCTTACCAGCTATGTGTGACTTCAGCTTTTTATGCTATCTTTCCTCTTCGTGTAAAATCCTAATAAATGTTAGTTAGACACAAAAGCAAATACTAAATAATATAATAATAATCTAGATTATCACTGGAAAAGTATGAGATAAAAATTAAGGCCCAAAAATTTTTCTTCATAGCCAACGTATTCAACTAGTGGAAAAAGCTATTTCCTACGTAACAAAAAATGTGTAAATGTGGACATTTCGATTGAAGGAAGAAGAGAAATGAGGAGATATCGAAAACGTTTACTAGAAGAAATGACCCGATATGCTTTTTTTTTATAGGATAGGGTGACAAACGAGCACACAGTCCACCTGATGGTAAGTGGTTACTGTGACCCATAGATATCTACATCTATCCTCAATAAAGACTCAAGATGCAGATGCGTTGTCACCCGTGAGGACTAAGATGGAATGCCTCTTTGCCAGTAAAAAGGGTCTCCGGTTCCCTACACTCACCATACGAAACACAGCAGCGTTAAGCTGCTATTTTACGCTGGTTTTCTGTGAGAGCGTGATCCTTCCCCGGTCGAGCCGACCCATTCGTGCTACAACCATAATATAGCTGCAGCATGGCTCTACCACGTAGAAAAGTTGAAAAATGCTGGACTAACATTGCCAGAGGAGCTGCTGAGAGCTATATTAGAATGTCTTGACATATTTTACGAGGAACTAGACCATCGCTACAGAGCAATGGATGATATTCTCGTAACGTTTTGTGCTGTTCAGCCTTACACTCTGCTAACGTCACCAGATGAAGATCTTCGTGTAATAGTTCAAAATCTGACAAAAACCTACGATGAATTTTCTGCAGTATATATAATTTTGGCGGTTTTACGACTTGAAAGCTGTCAGCATTTCTTCCTAAGAATCGGTTCAATGTAATTCATCCGAGCTTTTCTCATAAAATCGGGATATTCTGAATCTGTTCTGAATCTTTTTTACAATTAAGTTTCATGTGAAAGAAGCTTTTCAAAACTCAAGTTAATAAAATCTTACTTAAGATCCACAATGAGCCAAGCGCGACTAACCAATCTTTCCATTTTATCTATCGAAAATGACAAGAAAGTAAACTTTGATAATATATTAGAATATTTTAGCAAAATAAAATCTCATTAGCATGTATAGCATTTTTTGTTTTATTTTGGGGGGCGCTTGATAGAAAACCGTCCTGGGTGTCAACCCACGCTACGAACCACTAGTTACCGTAAGGTTTGATAGCGAAGCAATAATGCAATCAAAATATTAAACGGAGTTTAATTATAACACTATTCAGCACTTTCCATATTGAAAAAAATACGCATTTCGTTTTCCGTGATGCTGTATACACTAATAATATTCTCAAAATATTGTATCATGGACACTCTATTAGAAAGAAATGCAACGCCTAACTCGGTGCCTTTCATTCATTTCAAGGTCACTGATATAGGAACGTTTCTCTAGTATGAAGAGCGCACTCCCTATATTTTACAACCTCATTGGTTTGTGCACAGTGCTTCAATGAATGAAAAGATAGACCATTGACAAGATACTTTGCTTTTAAGATTGTACATTCGCTCCATTATACGTTTTATTACTGTCAAATTATCAATCTAATCTAAACTTTCTTTAAACTTAAAAATATGTATTGTAGTGTGAGCAGCAGTTGTCGATATTTAACATCTTTGTAAAATTGTATGTCAAAATAGGAATAACTTCTTTCCTTAATATTAAAATAATTAATATATGATTTTAATTATCTCCCGAAAAGGAACGTTTGAGGGTGTATTTATTTATGTTTATAGTATAGCTTTGCGCGTTGCGCGCGCATCGCATCTGCCCGACCGACTATGGCGGACAGGCATTAAAGGATGCTTGTAGTCTTTTTTGAATCGGAAAGTATCGACAGTAGCCAATGGCATAAATCGAGTTATTTGTAAAAATTGTACATTGTAAATAGTCCTGTGTACATATAGTAATTATATTTGTGGTCGTTTTGTTTAGAAATTGTGTGAATAGTGTATTATTTTGGGTGTTTATTCAGTTCAGTTATCGATGCCGACAAATCGCTTATTCTAAAGAATTAGTACGTTGATACGCTGTACAAATCGTCTAAATTTCAAAATTTTGTAAAAATTGTACCTAAAATTAAACTGTTTCATTGTCTGCCTTTGTGTTTTGAGTCGTGAAAAAGATAGTTGTATATCAGGCAATATTTTGGTTTCCCTTGGCGGCTGTCATCGTGCTTCGATTAAACTTCTGTCATTACAAAGGCAATAAAAAGTGTTCAATGCTTCAAACGGTTTTATCATGAGATCCGACTGCCGTATGTAGTTTATTGTATCATGTAAAACAATATCATTTACATTTGATTTGAATAGCGTTGTATGTAACGCTATTATATATAATTATATACAGAAAATCGTGAGAATTTCTGTCCTTTACGGTTGTGAACGATTGAAACGTTGAGAAACTGAATGCTCGAACCTCACGGTAGTCCAATGAAGTGGCCGGGTTCAGGGGCTGAAGAAGAGGCGGGCGAAGCAGGTTTGCAAAATGCCCGTGCTCCGCAAACACGCAGTCAAGATGATGCTGGTGTACATTACGTTTTTCAGCGGGATCCACAAGAAGGAGAACTACCTACCTGTTCCTTAGCCCCTAAGCAACGCTGGGCAGTTGGCGATGATACAATGTCAGAGGTTTGTTCTTTGTTCAGTATTTATTAATATTGTTTTATTCTATATTTGTGTAGATTACTATGATAACATGTTATAAGTCTCAACACAACTATGGCTTTACAATGTAACAAAATAAACATTCAGCTTCTTTTATGGTTTTAGAATTTAAATATTACAATATATTTTTTCAGAATCAAGATAAATGGAAAAACCCAACACCCATACCCATGAATAACATGCATCAACAGGGGGCTGTACACTTAAAAGGCTCTCAAACAAATCAACAATACATTAATCAGGCTATAGCCTCATCTGTGGGCACACTTGCTATGAATCCGTCAGTTATTGGAAGTCACCCTGCCCACTTGACTACTAACATGGTTCATACACAATTAGCACCACTGCAAAACCATACAATAGGCAATAACTTAACCATCCAAAATAGTGCAATGATGTTGCCACCATTGCAAGGAATACAGAATGCACCACAGATGGGACAGCAGGGCTTGTATGATTTACATCAACATCATGCTAATCCCATGCACGCCATGAATGGAATAGGAAAGAATGCTGAACATTTAATGTATTTAAGTCAAGCGGGAATGCTTGCCCCTGCTACCAATCAGTTCTTGCAAGGGCAAAATCAGCTTGGCTTGACACCTGTGGCTGCTATCAGAAACCAGGTGAGTTTTCAACATGTCTCGCATTAATTTCCTCAAAATTTGATACTGTTTAATCTCATCTATTAATAATTTTATATATAATTAATTATGAAAAACCGGGTAATGGTATAGTAGTAATTTCTCCATTTAGATATGTTTTCAGGCGTGACACATTTTTGAACCCCATACATTTACAAATGTTTTTCTTATGTGTTCAGTGCTTGAATAAACCATAAAATTTTTGCAATAAAAATAATAGATATATCTTCTTATTGTTATTGTAGCCTTTTATTAATTTGCTGCTCAATATAAATCTACCATTATTTTACCTCTTCAGGCACCCACATAATATGGAGTTACGTCTCTTAATTTTACAAATTGAATACAACAATAATCATACAACATTAAAAAAAATTATGGTGAGTTTTATTCAAGCACTGAACACATAAAAAAACATTTGTAAATGTATGGGGTTCAAAAATGTGTCACACTTTTATATCCTTATCATTATTGCTGCACATAAAACATTTTTCATCTCATTGATGTGATACTTGTTTTGAGAATTTATACATATAGATATTTTGACATGCTAGAGTCTAGATCTATTAATTTTATGTCAAATAGGTCTTACCACCTAATCCTTAAACACTCATACTTCTGTTGTAAAATAGTATTAAAGCAAAAAATTGTCAATATGGATTGTGTATAAAACGTTAAGTTACACTTTATCTTCTATATACCTAATATAGAAGACAATGTGTACCTAAATATCTTTTTCATACAAAATTGCAAACAAAAAAAGATTTGTTTGAAACTTCTTTTACATCTAGGCTTAACAAATAATTTATTTTGTCTGTTTACTATGTTTGACAAATATCAATACAATTGAATTGGCCATGTCAAAGATTAGCCTGGTCAGGTAGACAGATAATTTATTTTTTAAATGGTTATGTATGCTAAATCCGTGGAGTCCCAGTTGATCCATTTGGATTAGCACATGCCATATTTGTAGACCCCTCAGAACAATCCTTTTTTAAATGTTATTTATAAGAATTATACAACTAAAATTCTAAATTCTTTTTAGAATTAGTGAAATCACAAGAATCAAAATTGTATGAGAAATAAATTAAGAGAATTTACAGTAAATGATGACATTTCACCATTATGCTACTTTACTATTAGAATGTCAGCTTGGCAGGTCAATGTAGTACTTACCACACTGTGTTGATGGTGCTGTTACAGAATTATTTCATTTCTGAGACTTGTTTTACCAGAGTTGTGCCTTAAAGTTGCCAAGTTATTTGAAAACCTCTTAAATGGGAGTATTCACCTATTTTATTTTTTATAGATTGTATCTATCTATTGATTATAAAAAACTTTGTTTTTTTTTTACCACTGAAACAATTCTGTAACAGCGCTATCTATATGATGGCGATGTTATTAATGCCTCATACATTCCATACATTTTTCGACAGAGCCTGGTTAAGAACCAAAAAAAAATTATTGACCTTGGCCTGACCTCAGGTCTGATGGAGTTGTCCGATACATTGTCAGGATCTGAGAGGCTAAATTATATTTATATGAATAGATAATCGGCTCAATTTTGATTGCTTTCTTTAACTACTTATTATTCTTCATTATTTAACATGTGCTGTTTTAGGTAGGTTTTTGGCAAACTTTTTTTATAGCCTATATTTTTGCAAGTTCTGGAGTTTTCAGATTATTTATTAATCAATTTTAGGTTTGAACTAACTAGTAGTATGTTCCTGATATATTTGTTTCATTTGCTATATCCCACATGATCTCATGAAATGCTACATGCTAAATAAAAAATTTAAACAAGTGTTCCTTTTTTTAAATTCCATTGCTAGGCATTAAAGGAGATGAACTTCGTTTCATACAAGCTTGGGCCCGGTGTAAACAAAGTTCAAATATATCTTATTTTGAAGATTTAAACATTTGTGACTTATGACATAAATCATATTTTTGTAAGGCCTGGGGTTTTGTTGTTATTTTGTTTTATTATTTGTAGGTTATGTAGTAAAATCACTCGTTCTTGGGATTAGTTATTTCAATAAATTGAAAAGAATACAAAAGGATGCCGTTTTTTATTTACTATTAAATAAAATACAACTCAAACTTTTCTAATTGTTTAATTATTTTATGCAGTTATTAATAAAATGTCATCTAGAAAAGTAGCCTGAGTCTGAACATTGTTTGTTCTATTCCTATAATTAATAGAATCAGGCGTTACTTTGAGGAAATCCATTATATAAAAGCTTTTAGAAAAATTTACTTCGCAAATATCCACGTTATAAAATAAAATGATGTGTCTTACCTAGTATGAAGAGCACCTCCCGCCCTCCCTCAATTGCGTGCACTATCCCCGTCACCACTAATCCCAGCACCGCTACTCCCAATACCACTACACTAGGCAAGACACACCACTGACGATAATACGACACGTGTTTCGCCTCTACACGAGGCGTATTATCGTCAGTGGTGTGTCTTGCCTAGTGTAGTGGTGTTGGGAGTAGCGGTGCTGGGATTAGTGGTGACGGGGATAGTGCACGCAATTGAGGTACTCTCTTCATACTAGGTAAGACACATCATTTTATTTTATAACGCGGATATTTGCAAAGTAAATTTTTCTAAAAGCATTTATGTTCTATACCTCTCAAAACCCAAGTAACACATTATTGTCATTATGTGGGACAACAACCTACTGTCCTGTTAATCGAGAGAAAAGCCAAGGGTCAAGTTAAATTAATTCACGAAAATAAAAACACGAAATATATCCACAAATACAACCATTGTGCCAAATCGCATGACAAGTTGAAACTCAAAGTTACAAAGTCTCCTTCGAAACAGGCAATGATCAACGACCATAAAGCCTATTCAATCGTGTCCGATATTATTCAAATATTTTGTTTAGTTAAATAACGTAGCTTATTCAATTGATTTTCTAAATAGATTTCTTTTATTCAGTATAAATCTCTACAAATTCACTGCAATGTTTCAATATTATGAGTTCTTTTTTTTTTGATACTGAAGGCTATTCATTACAAAAAATAGCCACCATTATCTAATGCCATAGACAGAATACATAAAAATATTTAAAAACGTTTTGTTTTTGCTATGGTAAAAGCATTAGCTTTCGTTTTTCAGCTTTAAAAAATGTTTTTATGATTGTTCCATACACTACAGAAATAAAAACCATTTAATTATGCTTATAATTTATCATTATATTACCTACATATTTTTGTATAACTGTTACGAACAATGTCAACAACCCAATTTCATACATCTCCTTTTTTCATTGTTTCTCCATTTGCTTAAATTACTTATTCTGAACCTTCTCTGCAAATGAATGACCATAATTAGTTTCACTACCAGATGAAATGACGAAATTTCTGCATAACTAATATTTGGTGCAGACACATTGCAAACAAAAATGTACATATGGAGAAATGCACCTTAGGGCTTTTGAACAATGACGTAATGAATTTTACTATGCTGCCACTACACAGCGATCTTCGCTAAAACCACACAATTTGTGGAGTAAATACATGTGAGCAGGAATATAATAATTGTTGCTCAGAGAGATAAAAATGTTTTTTTTTTTTCACTGTACATACAACTGCAATTGCAACTTGGAGAGTTTGCTCTTGCGCTCTTGTTGGTTCACAGTGCAAATCCTATTTTTGAAGTAAATTGCTGCATTTTAAATTGAAAAGACCATTAACCACTGGAGTCTTAAGGAACAGTTAAACACTAAATTATACCCTTTTTATTAATATTTCTATGAACAAATGTTATTGTGCAAGTTTTTGAATGGATTTAAATATTTCATTTAAAAACTTTACAATTTACTGAATAATTACTAGACTTGTAACAAAATATTCAACTATTGTGTGGTATCTGGCCTATTCAGTTACATTTATCCTATAACCTATTATCCTACTACTCGATTGAATACTGAATACTTAAGTAAGATGTTTTGGTGTAGTCAGATAATTAGTAAAATGAAAAATATTTATTTATTTCATTTATAATAATATATTTTTCTTGTAATCATGAAAGTAGTCACTGGTACATAATCAACTTCCATATTATAAAAATTAATAATAAATAAACTATTAAATAAATGTCTTTGCACTTGAATTATAATGTTCGAGGTTTGAACCCGGGTTCGATCCCTGCTGGCACTGATGAAATTGCAATTTTAAGTGCTGATTTACCACGTGCTCGGTGGTGAAGGAAATCATTGTGAGGAAACCTGTATGTCTGAGAAATAAGAAACCCCTCTCAAAAACGAGAGCAAGCCTGTGCTTAACTGTGGGAAGCCTGTGCCTAACGATGGGTTGCATATAGATCGTAACTTTTGAATTATTGTAATGAAAATAATAAATGGAAGATTATGGTGCAAAAAGATTAACACGTTGGTCGCCATGTCGGGCAATGGTGACCGCCAGTAAATGTTTCATTCAGGCCGCGTCGGACATTGCGCGCGTCGGACAAGCTACAGTACTATGGTGTCAAGAACACAGTGCTTAAACTTATTATTTCATATTTAAGTAGTAGAATGCAGAAAGTTACTATCAATGGTGAAAGTTCTTCCGGCTCACCTGTACTAATGGGTGTCCCTCAGGGCTCGATTCTCGGCCCATTCCTATTTCTACTGTATATTAATGACTTACCTTCTCTTGTAGAGGATAATCATGATATAGTATTATTTGCTGATGATACTTCCTTGATTTTTAAACTTAAACGGCAATCATTTAAATGTGACAAAGTGAATAATGCTATATCAAAATTAGTACATTGGTTTCACGTTAATAATCTACATTTAAACAGAAATAAAACTAAATGTATTAAATTTACTACAACGAATGTTAAAAATCTGAGTGCCAATGTGTTTTTAAATGGGGAAGAACTGAGCCCTGTTGAATCCACTGTTTTTCTTGGCATCACTCTCGACGCAAAGCTTCAGTGGTATATATATCCAAAGTCATTAATTC